GAGAGGATAGGGCAGAGAGGCATGAGAATGAGGGAAGAGAGGAGGGAGAGAGAAGGGAGGAGAGGAGGGAGGAGGGAGGAGGGAGAGGGAGGAGGAGTAGGAAGGTAAGAGCGTGAACGTTCGAGGAAGTCCTAGGCGAAGGGGCCGTTCCTGAAGAAAGTCTCGGGCGGGAGCCCACGACGGGCGGGCGATCCCCTGACGGGCGGGTCGGGCGGGTGGGACATTCAAGCGGGATGCCTGAGTACGGCGAGAGCGCGATTACTAAGTAAATTATAACGGCGTCCTTGGCGCAGCGTGTTTCCTGAGCGTCGGAAACGCGATTTCTGCACAAATTGCGTGGAAGTCACAGGCGAGAGCGCAATTCCTGAATAAAACGTGAGGGGTTCTCTGGCGAGAGCGGGGGTCTTGATTAAATTGCGAGGAAGTCTTGACTCAATTGCGAGAAGTCTCAAGCGGGAGCGCCTTTCCTGAGAAAATTGTGAGGAGGTCTCAGATGGGAGCGGGGGTCCTGACTGAATTGCGAGGAAGTCACAGGCGGGAGCACGGATCCTGAGTAAATTGTGAGGAAGTCTTAGGAGTGGGGGTCCTGAGTAAATTCAGAGGAAGTCTCAGGCGGGAGCCGTTGTTGTTATAATCCGGGGGGCCAGGGGCCCAGTTTGAGCACCAAGACTTTCCCTGTCAAAAAAACAAAGTGCGAGCCGTCGAGGAGCACACTTTGATTGAGAAACAAAAGTATGCACCGGTGAGGGGGGATCAACAATAATTATTCTTCAGAAATGAGAATTCAAAAAAATAAAGAAGGACAAAAAACAAAAAAACGATGTCTGTTTCAATGTGCTGGAAGCCTAAGAGGGGGCGAAGGGGGGCGAAAGGGGGGGGAAGGAGGGCGAAGGGGGCGAGGGGAGGAGGCGAAGGGGGCGAAGGGGGCGAGGGGAGGGGCCGAAGGCGAGGAGAACGGCCATGAAAAACTCCCCTGGCGGTTTCTCCCGCAACGCGAGCCCAAAGAGGGCCGGCCTCTCATCCCGAGTTGATTCTTCACGGTCCCGGGACCCAACGAGGGCCCCCGGAGGCCGAAAAGGAAAAAAAGCAAACAAGACAAACAGAAAAACTCCCAAGTGCCTGGCAAAAAGAAGAATCAAACAAACAAAAAAGTGTCTGTTTCAATGCGCTGGAAGCCTAAGAGGGGGCGAAGGGGGTGAAGGGGGAGGGGGCGAGGGGAGGGGGCGAAGGGGGCGAACTGGAGGTGCCGAAGGCGGGCGAGGGGAGGAGGCCTGGAGCGGGCGAAAAGGCAGGGAAGGCGCGGCACGGCTGCGAGGGGAGGCCGCATCCTCAGGCCATCCTCCATCGCACCCGCGCGGCCAGTCGGGCTCGCGCAGGGGGCGTCCGCCGCGCCGCGGGGGCGCCGGGTCTCTCGAGAAGGGGCGCGCGCGCGCGGGCGATGGCCTGACTACCCACCAGACCACCCCGACCTGACCCGAAGGCCCGAATGTCGGGTGGGGGGGGGTACGGGCTCCACACGTGCTTTTTCAATGTTCCCCCACACCCTCCTCCTCCTCCTCCTCCTCCTCCTCTCCTCCTCCTCCTCCTCCTCCTCCTCCTCCTCCTCCTCCTCCTCCTCCTCTGGAAGTGGAGGGCAGATTGAGGCCTTCGGGTCGGGTCGGGGTGGTCTGGTGGGTGGTAAGCTGTGGGGCGCACGGCAAGGTGCCCCGCCGGCCCTGCTCGCCCAGCTCGGGTGCCGCCAGGAAGGTGCTTCTCGGCGGCGAGCCCGGGGGGGAAGCGAGCGACGACCAGAACCAGGTCTTGCGCGAGGTGATGTAGCGTTAAGTCGGACCCGTCCCTCTACAGGAGGAATATTCAAAAATAGTGAAAAAAATCCGCCAGCCCCCTTGAGGGGCCACCAGGCTGTAGGCCTAAGGTTCGCAGTTTCCTGTACCAGTTGCAGCTTCCAGTCTCCACTGTTACAGTTCTGCTTCTTGCTGCTTGCTATTCCTTGTTGACTTCTTGCTGCTTACTGCTCCTTGTTGATGGACCGCGCGAAAGGGAGGCCCAAAACGGGCATTTCTACCACGGAAAAAATCGTATTGTCTGAATTGCGGAGGTGGGTAAAAATTTACACCTCTCACGCAGATCGGCGGGGTCAGGGTCCAAAAACACAGGGGATTTGCCACATGTCTGAAATTCGGCGGCATCCCTCACGCAGATCCGTAGGGTCAGGGTCCGAAAACACAAGGGATTTGCCACATTTCTGAAATTCGGTGGCACCCGTGACGCAGATCCGTAGTGTCAGGGTCGAAAAACGCATGGGATCTGCCACATTTCTGAAATTCGGCGGTACCCCTCACGCAGATCCGTATGGTCAGGGTCCAAAAACACAGGGGATTTGCCACATTTCTGAAATTCGGTGGCACCCGTGACGCAGATCCGTAGGGTCAGGGTCGCAAAACAAACAGGTCCCGACACTGCTTCACGGCGGCGCCCAGACCTCATGATTTCGCTTTTGCATCTCCCATTATCCGAGACAGGGGGCCGGCGGCATGGGGCGAAGCCCTTACGGATATTTTGGCTATTGTTGAATATGTTGGGGTATGTTTGGGGTTTTCGTGCCAAATTCACCTTTAGGGAGACATGCCCGACCTAAATGTAGCGACCTTACCGTCGGACGCAGGCCAGAAGAGCATCCCTCAAGAACACGAGGCCCTCCGCCGGCCAAAGCACATGCAGAACCTCCCAAGGGTACCCTCCCCAAGATGCACAAGGGCATCGAGCAAGCACAAAGAGAATTAGGCTACCCTCCCCGAGCCGACCTCGACCTCATATCTCGGTCCGACTGTCCGCGAGATGATGTTGCGAAACTACGCGGTGGCTTACGCAGGCCGCCAGTGCGGCACGCCACATGTGAAGCGAGGGCGCTTACACGCGCGACCTTACGCGGGAAGCTCACGCGCCAGTGTCGGTGCATACGACCCCGTTTTCTCATGCGTCGCTCCAGTGAGAAGGAGCGGCCCTTCTCAGAAGGCTCGCAAGTCCCCTGGCCCTCCGAGAAGTTTTCTAAGCCCTCCCCCAAGGCACAGGAAGCTGCTCAGGATTCGCGAGGGCTTCTGAGAAGTCCCGCCGCCTTCTGACAAGGCATTCTCCTTCTCACTTCCCCCCGCGCTCGCAGCCGAGCTTAGAGGACTCCCTAACGGGGTCCAAGCAGATGAGATTGTAGGATGGCGCCGCATCGCCGATGTATCGCAGATGCATCGGCGATGCATCAACGACGGCAGCGTGGAGAGAATCGGGCTCCACATCGAGCCGCACCGCCGATACACCAGCGGTGCTGGGCGATCCTCCGACCCCAGCTGCTCGGAAAGCATCTGGGAGGCCTTGAGTGGTCTGCCTGCTCCTAGATGCTCATTCTGAGGACCTTCCTGGAGCCACTCCCTTCACTCGTGCGTCGATACGGCGTCGAACGTCCGTCGAAATTAAATCGAACTCGAGTCGACCTTGAATCGAGCAAGAGTCGAGCTAGAACCGAACACCTTCGCTAGGTCGGCCCCATAAGGCCCCCAAAACGTACATCTGACTGCTGCGTCGGGTCAACCCCGCATCGAGTCGGGAAGGCGTAGCCGCACACTGTTTTGGGGGAGGGAGAAGAGGGAAGCGGACAGCATGACTCAAACTTCAGCCGCCTCAGCCAGTCGCACGATAGGAACCTGTGCTACACACGTGGGGCCAAAGATTGAATGGACCGCCCTGGGGGCAAACATTCCACGCACAGCAGCCATTCGGTGGCAACTCATGGGAGCCTCTCGTACCATCTTGTCCCCTCTTGAATATCGACGCTGATCGACGCTAGTCGACGCCAACCGACGCTAAATCGACGCTCATCGACGCTAACCGGCGCTAAATCGGCGCACCTCGTCGACTTCCAGACGCTAATCGACGCTAGTCGACACTAAAGACCGAATTAATAGGGTCGGGGATGGACAGAACCCCCTTTAGTAAAACGTGGTTTAGTGAAAACGACCTCGTGCCCAAACCTGGCAGGCGCAAGCCTGGAAAATAACGGCCGCGGCGCCCTCTCGAGAACCGAAAACGGACAATTCACGAATCGACGTGTCAGGGTGGGCTTTCTGTCCACCCCCGAAGTATGCCAGGCTCCCATGGTCTGCTACCGAGCGGCAGGCAGAGGAAACCTTGCTTGGCTGGCGGCGAGCTGGGCCCAACAGAAGCGGCCGAGCAGACGGCGGGGCGCCACCGCGGCGAGTGAAGAGGCACCAGGGGGGCGCGGGCGGGCCAGGGCCACAAAGGGGAAGCGGGGCCGCGGGACAGCCGGGGAAGCCTCGGGTCGCGAGGACCTTCAGGATGTGGCTCCCCGTCGCCAGCGATGGCCTGACGAGGTCCAGGAGCTGGTGCGGCTGCGGCTGCCGCCGGGGTGCTGCCAACGCGGTGCGCGCCCCCGCAGCTGTCGTGGCACAAATGGCCTGGTGGGCGTCGAGGAAGTCGCGGCCGAGCTCCGAGGGGAGCCTCGCTACCCTCCTAACCAGGGCCGCTCGTCGTTAGGGACCTCTTGCTGTCGGGGTCCGCCTTCGGCTTGCTGCGCTGGGTGACTGGGAGGCTTCGCGGAGCGTAGTAACTATTCGCAAATGGCCTGGATCCGCCACGGGGGAGTCACGATACATCACGCAAGGAGGAAGGCATACTTTTTTGTGTGACATTTGCGAGTAGACACTCTGCGAGGAACGCGCTCGGTGAGCCTCGGAGCAGGCTCAAAAAAAACTACACTGACAGAAGACTTCGGAGGTCCGCACGGATCTCTTGGATCCACGCCGGACCTTCTCCCCTGGCGCACGCGCGGCGCGCCAGGGGCGGCGACGCCACGGGGGGCCGGCGCCGCTGCAAGAAGTCCGCGCGGAGCTCCGAAAGTTCATGCTTCTGCAGTTGTTTCCTTCTTCGAAGGGCAGCGCACGAACGAACGAATGAGCGACCACCGCTACGGACAGGCGTCCAGGCTTCGCTCAGACCAGGTGGGTGAGGCCGTGGCCTCTTGGTTCTGGCGTCTGGACGCATGCAACGCGAGACAGATAAAAAGTCACGAGGAGGGGAGGAGGAGGAGGAGGAGGAGGAGGAGGAGGAGGAGGAGGAGGAGGAGGAGTAGGAGGAGGAGGAGAGGAGGAGGAGGAGAAGGAGGAGGAGGAAGAGAAGGAAGAGAGGAGGAGGAGGAGGAGGAGAGAGGAGGAGAGAGGAGGAGGAGAGGAGGAGGAGGAGGAGGAGGAGGAGGAGGAGGAGAGGAGGCGGAGGAGGAGGAGGAGAGGAGGAGGCGGAGGAGAAGGAGAGGAGGAGGCGGAGGAGGAGGAGAGGAGGAGGCGGAGGAGGAGGAGGTCCTCGCTGTCGGTGTAGGCGCGCGTGTCGCCTCGATCTCTCGCTGCAGGCAGCGCGAGAGAACACCGGCAAAGGGGCCGCGCGGGCAAAGGCAGGGACTGGGCCGCCTGGCGCTCGTTCGCCGCCGCCGTGACGATGCGCTTCTGGCCGGGCACGCGCCACTCGTTGGTGCGCCGGGGCAGCAGGTGCCTCCGGCCACGGCCCCCCCCTCCTCCTCCTCCTCCTCCTGCTCATCCTCCTCCTGTGAATTACACTCCACACAATGTATGTTTTGAGGGTTCTGACAGAATCATGTTGGATGCTTTTCCCTCCCGAGGCCCCTTGAGGCCGAGTGGCAGCACATAGCAAGCAGCAGGATGTTTACGGCACGTCTGACCATTGCCGTTTGAGCTCGAGAGGCCTCTCGACTGACCGAAAAGGTGACCATCACCACCCCCCGCGTGCAGAGCATAGTGGAGGAAGGTGTTCGAGGAGAAGTTGGCAGGGAATCGAACTTCGATTCGACGAGGATCGAGGACTTCGAATGCTTCGACGAGTTCACATTGGTAGCGAAGCCTGAAGGCTCACGGACAGCAGCACACCCATGGGACCACCGTCTGGCAGTGGGGGAAAAGGGTCCGCAGCAGCAGCAGCAGCAGCAGCAGCAGCATCAGGATCAGGACGACCAGAAGACGGCCCATTCATCGGACGCGCCCCGGAGTTCGACGGCTCCATCGACGGGTACAAGACGTTCAGGAGAAAGGTGGAGATCTACGCCGCGAGAGCCAGGAGTAAGCAGCAGGAGAAAGCAGTAGGGCTCGAGATCATGCAAGGCCTGTGGGGCAGAGCGTGGGAAGTGGTCGAGGACATTCAGATATCAGACATCGAGCAGGAGAAAGGCTGACAGCTCATCCTCGGCGCGCTCGACAAGGCCGACAGATATGACCAGATTACGGATCTCCCGACGGATTTCAAGAATTTCTTCTTCAAGGCAGCCCGCAAGCCCAAGGAGACGCTGATGGACTATTTGACGAGGTGTCGGACATCAGACCGCAAGCTGCGCTCACACGAGGTGGCTCTCCCAGACAACGTGCTGGGTTGTTTTTTTTGACGCAGGGCCGAGCTGGACAAGGAAGGCAAGCAGCTCATCATGAATCAAGTTGGCGACAACCTCTCACTAGACAAGGTCGAAGGCGAGATGAAGAAAACGTTCGGCCTGGACTCGGTGCCAAGCCATCGAGCAAGCTCAGGAGCAGCAGCCTACAACGTGGACGACTACGAAGAGGTCGACGACTACCAGGAGGACGTCTACTATGGAGATGAGGGGGAGTACGCCGAGGACGACGGCGAGGACCACCAAGAAGTAGGCCCCAGCTTCGACGCAGAGGCAGCCTACTACAGCGAGAGAGCCACGATCGGCACCCCCATGCCAGACCAGACGTACGGTGCAGAGCAGTACGACGAGATAATGGCAGCATACACGGACGCAAGGCAGAAGATGAATGATATGAGATTGGCCAGAGGTCTCTACCCAGTCGTAGCTATGGTACCGCCACCGACAAGGAGCACGGCACCCATCATCCCTCGAGCTACTGGCGCTGCCAGAGGTCGAGGTGCGGTCCGAGGCGCGTCAAGAAGGAGGGCACAACAGGACGATCTACAAAGGGACGCGGTAAGGCGGGCAGGTACGGAAAGGGTGGAGCAGTACGAGGGCCACCTATTCACCACATCCCGAGAGAGACGGAAGAGACGATATGCCTACGATGTGGAGGTCGAAGACACTTCGCAGGGGACTGCCCTCACCAGAGCAGGAAAAGGCAGAATGTTGGCGACGACACGGCAGAGGCGAGAATGGTCACCGACACAGCAGACGACATCTACAACTCGACCGAGATCGACCCACCGGAGGCGATACACGACAGTGCGGCGACCAGCGTGATCGTGGGACACGAGACGCTTAAGGGCTATTGCAAGCAGCTGGTCGCCGAAGGGTTTCCAGTCAGCAGGATGAAATTCTTCCGTGCTCAAAGAATTTCAGATACGGCAACGATTCGACCGGCGAGGCGACGGCGTCCGCAGTTGTGCCATCATTCTCTGGAGGCACATTCGTCGAGATTCTCACATATGCTATTCCAGGCCACACGCCACTTCTGTTCGCCAGACCTGTGATGGAGGAGCTCGGTATGGTCGTGGATTTCAAGAACAGGATGGCATGCTGGGACGGAGATGGCAAATGGTTTCGGTTGCGCCAGCAGCCCCAGCGCGGGCATTTCATCATCAATATGCTGGAGAGTTTCGATACTTGTATGAAGGAGCGCGCCGACTAGACACTACTACCGCAAAATATGTTGGATCATGTTCCAGTGCAGCACCCCATCAGCCCCTACACGTTTCTGGGCGACGAGGTGCTAGCGTACGAGGAGTCGGTGAACTTCATCGGCACCATGGTCGAGATCAGCAACAAGGTCGACGCGAAGACGAGTGACGAGAACTACTTCGCCAAGGACCTCAACGTGAAGCAGCTGCGCAAGTGCCAGGAGTCCCTCGAGTCGGCCACCAAGGAGTTGAAGCAGGACTTGGAGAAGGTGAAGGACATTCAAAAGGGCAAGCGCAAGATATGGGAGGTCTACGGCGGCAAGTCGGAGTTGACGACGGAGCTGAGGAGTCGCGGACATCAGGCTGGGACGTTCAGAGTACACAACGGCTGGGAGATCGGCAAGCCCACGACCCAGAAGAAGTTCCTCGCCCTGATCGACGAGGAGCAGCCGGACGACATATGGATAAGTCTGGAGTGCAAGCTCTGGTCGATGATGCAGCAGCGAGGCTGCAAGACAGACGAGGACAAAGAGAAGATGCGGCAGCGGCGCTCGGATAACCACAAGACGCATCTGATGTTCTGCAAGCAGGTCTACCTCAAGCAGTGGCACGGAGGTAGAGATGCAAACCTGGAGCAGCCAGCGACAGCACGCAGTTGGAGGACGAAGGCACTCTACGAGCTGCCCGAACACCATGTGCTTTTCGACCAGTGTATGACGGGATTGGAGATTCCAGGGGAAGGCCTAGCTCGCAAGAGGACTGGAGTTCGCACTACACGACGAGGAATGCAGAAGGACTCTATCAGTACCAGTGCGACAAACGACATGAGCATGTCCACCTGGAGGGCAAGATTCCTGGTACCAACTTGCACCGCACGAGCTTCGCCGAGAACTATGGGCCCCTGTTGGCGCAGGTTCTCAGCGATTTGTTGGAGCAGCCCCCCATTCAGGACACGAACATCCGTGTCCTGGGCATCGAGGAAGGCGAGGACGTGGTGGAGTATATCCACCATGCGACGGTGGACGACAGCAGCAGCGAGGCGAAGGAGACTGTTCGGCCAGAATGTGTTCAGGTATGTGGAGCGTCTCCACAAGAACCTGGGCCACCCTAGCACAGAGGTTTTCGTGCAGATTCTGACGACGGCGGATGCGAGAGAGAAACTGATAGCCTGTGCGAAACGGTACTTGTGTGCGATATGCACAGAGAGGAAGAAGGCATCAGACACCGAAGTCGGCACCACCATCATGGAAGACATTTAACTAGGCTTTGTGCATGGATTTCTTTGAGTTCAAGTTGCGCTCGGGCTCGACGAAGCTCGCGCACCTACTGGATGGAGCTAGCCGCTTTCAGAAGTGCAGGATCGTGGCGCGCGAGACGACAGCCGAGGCCATCAGGTCCATCGAGAAGGAATGGATTAGGCACTACGGGATCCCGACGAGGCTCGTGATGGACGAGTGCGGCGCAGCGTGCAGTGAGGAGATGCTCGACTGGACCAGTGACCAGAACATTAAGATGCAGATCGCCCCCGGGGAGGCTCACCATGTCATGGGACCAGTTGAGCGAGCACACCAGGTGATGCGCGAGACGTTCGAGCTCTGGTTCGAAGAGACCGGCCTGGAGCGCACCATCGAGAACTTGAAGGCGGCGTTGGACTACGTGCCCAATCAGATCAACAGGATGATGCACCACAAGGGCTTCAGTCCGGCGCAGTGCGTTCTGGGCTACAACCCGGAGCTCAATGACTCCCTGTCCGCAGACACGCTGTCCGCGCCAGCGGCGGAGGCCTACCTGGAGGAGGAGACGTTCCAAGAGGCGATGCAGCGGCGAGCGGCAGTGGCGATGGCATTCATCAAGGCGGATTCGACGGAGAGGCTGCGCAGGGCATTTCTGCGCAAGAGGCGTGACATCCATGAGGCAGTGAGCGTGGGCGACGAGTGCTACTACTGGCGTGATCGTGGAGCTAGTCGGCTTCAAAAGTCACGCTGGAGAGGGCCGGCCACCGTGGCACTACGCGAGGACGCGGAGAGCGGCCAGCCCAAGGTCTACTGGGTCACGCACGGCGGGAGCCTACAGAGGTGCAGCCCAGACCAGATCAGACCCATCGTGGAGCGGATCGGCGAGCCTAGACGACCAGCGAACCTACAGGCAGCGCAGACCACTCTACAAGGACTACGACGCGGAGGTATCGTGCAGTTCTTCGATATCAGCCAGCTGCCCGGACCCACCGAGGAGGACCGAGCAGACGAGCCGATGGAGGAGGACGAGCCAGCTTCTACAGATGGAGGCGCACCGACGGTGGAGCAGGCCATGGAAGGCCAGCCCAGGCAGGTGTCTGCCCAGGGTTCCGAGCCGCAGGCCGAGCCGAGGCCAGCAGGCAACGAGGGCCCACCACCGACGGCGGATAACACGGCGATACCGGACTATGATGACACGGAGTTACAGCAACAGCCAGCGCGAGAGCAAGCACCAGACGCAACAGAGGTTCCAGCAGTACAGACGGCGACGCCGGCTCAGCCAGTGATCGTCGACCCAGCGGCGAGGTTCAAGGAGATGCGGAGAAGCATCGATGAATCGGAGATGGCTCCAATGCGTACATTCGCGGCGCATCGAGATCGGCGAGACAACCGGTCAGGACCCTACGACAAAGTGGAGGTCCAAGAGGGCGTGATGTTTCTGAACCTGGACGCGCTACCCAAGAGCTGGAGCTACAACGCAGAGGACCAGGCGTTCTTCCTGGACTCCGAGGAGTGCTACTTGGCTGGCGAACTGAGTGAGAAGAATATGAACGCGGAGGACAAAGCCAAGTTTGCGGAGGCGAAGCGCGCGGAGCTGCAGAGCTTCTTCGACAACCAGGTCTGGGAGCACGACAAGAACAAGGTTAGCGACCCCAACAAGGTTCTGCGCGCGAGGATTCTACTGAAGTGGTCGAGGAACGCCGACGGAAGCTACCGGGCCAAGGCCAGGTTGGTTATCCAAGGGTTTCGAGATCCAGACGCGATCGCAGGGAAGCTGGCTAAACCCTCACCGACTATGACGAGATTGAGCAGAACATTCATCGTGATGCTCGGCCGCATTCACGGTTGGATCCTGTTCACCGCTGACGTTAGCACCGCGTTTCTACAGGGCAAGCGTTCTGATCGCGGGATTTCTGTGCTTCTACCGGCGGAGGCGTGCAGGATGCTTGGCTACCAGCCGGGTCAAAGGATGAAGCTGCTCATGAGTATGTACGGCATGAGCGACGCACCGAGGCCTTGGTGGGAGGAAGCTACCGACCGCATGATTGCGTGTGGTTTCGTGGTTCACTCGCTGGACCCCTGCCTTTTCCTGAGCTACCGCCTGGACGCGACCAACACGAAGGTGTTCGACGGCGCAATCGGGCTACATGTTGACGATATGCTCGGAGGCGGCAGCAGCCAGGAGGGCCAGGCATGTTTCTCGGCGCGCGTGAAGGAGCTCAAGAAGGTTTTCAACTTCAGGACGCAGGAAGACACAAACACAGGCACTCTGAACGTAGCAGGCGACGCTTCTATGGATTTTTGTGGCAACCAACTCACCAAGACGACGAACGGAGATTATCAGATGAGTTGTGCAGCCTACATCAAGTCGCTCAAGCCAATCACCTTGGCCAAGAACCGAGCGAGCGACCACAACTTGCCAATCACCGAGGGCGAGCGTCGACAGCTACGAGGATTGATAGGAAGCTTGGCGTGGCCCAGCAACCAGGCGGCACCCCACTTGCAGTGCAGCGTCAGCCTGGGACAAGGGACGATCAATGAGGACTCTACCGTGAAGGACCTGGTGGAGGCCAACGAGACGCTGAGGCTTGCCAAGGCGAATAGCGACGTGAGCCAGGTGTTTACCAAGATATGCGACGACCCGGACGAAATAACGTTCATCTGCATAACGGACGCAGCGTGAGCAGTTAGACGTGATGGAAGCTCGCAAGGAGGTTACCTCATCCTAGCGGCGCACAGGAGTGTGCTGTTCGGCGAGACCGTCAGGCAAGTGGTGGTCGACTGGCGCTCATGGAAGCTACCGAGGGTGAGCAGGTCCTCGTTGGCGAGTGAGGCCCAAGCTGCAGCCGGAGGCGTGGATGCGCTCGAGTATATGAAGGTACACTTCAGCCTAATGCTCGACCCGACGCGCGATCCGAGGCTGAATGGCACCATGACTGTGCTGGGAAGGAGTGCGCTCGTGGTGGACGCCAAGGCGTTCTACGACGCGGCTCAGAAGCCACACGTGCACAACTTCGACGACAAGCGGACGGGTATCGAGGTGCAAGTGCTGAAGGAACGCATGACAGCAAGCGCTACGGGCTGGTATTGGGTCAGCTCAGAGCGTCAGTTCGCAGACGGCTTCACCAAGCTGGCAGCGAGACAGCTACTGGCCGATCGGCTCAGGACGGGAACGATCAGCCTGAAGTTCGATGATTAGTTCCAGGCTGCGAAGAAGAAAACGGCCAAGGACCGACAGGAGGAGACCAAGCGGTTTGCCACGTCAAGATCAAAGACGAGTGCGACAGCAACGATGGCGGCCATGGCATCCCTGACAAGGTCAGCAGCAGCCAGCGAGGTGAAGATCTACAATAATGAGATCGAGACAGCCCTGGTGGAGCTCGAGTGGACCAAGAGCCCGCGGATCGTGATCAAGATACCGCTAAGCACGATGTATGTGCTATGTGATCTGCAAGGTTTCGCAGAAGGAGACGAAGGTCCAGACCCCGCCAGAGCCCGAGCCAGAGAAGGAGTGTGGACAGACCAAGGCCAAGAAGGAGAAGAAGGTCAAGCTGAGTGCCACTAAGTGGGACGGTGGCTGCCAGGGCCCAGTCAACTACACGAGCATCGGACGACCAGACGGACATTACGGACAGTACAAGCACGTGACGAATGGTTATCGACGAGGCTGGGAGATTACACGTGAATTACATGCAGTGCAGCAGAAGCCGCACAGTGAGTGACGGTGCCCCGGCAAATCATGATTTGCATCCTGTTCCAGTCTCGTTGCCTGTTCTTTTCCCCTCCCTCTCAATGAAGCTATTTCTCTCAGCAGAGGTTTTTGTTGCGACACTGTGGGTAGCGCAGTTCTCTCGAGCGACGCTGCGATGCTTGAGTCAGTTATGATAAGCTGCTATCTGTTGCGCAAATTTTCGAGTGATTTTGGTGAGAGGTTTGTACGGGTTGTCATTCCCTTTTTCACCAGTGTGAATTGCACTCCATACAATGTATGTTTTGAGGGTTCTGACAGAATCATGTTGGATGCTTTTCCCTCCCGAGGCCCCTTGAGGCCCAGTGGCAGCACATAGCAAGCAGCAGGATGTTTACGGCACGTCTGACCATTGCCGTTTGAGCTCGAGAGGCCTCTCGACTGACCGAAAAGGTTACCATCACCACCACCCGCGTGCAGAGCATAGTGGAGGAAGGTGTTTGAGGAGAAGTTGGCAGGGAATCGAACTTCGATTCGACGAGGGTCGAGGACCTCGAGTGCTTCGACGAGTTCACACCTCCTCCTCCTCCTCCTCCTCCTCCTCCTCCTCCTCCTCCTCCTCCTCCTCCCTCCTCCTCCTCCTCCTCCTCCGCCGCCTCCGCCTCCTCCTCCTGCTCGTCCTCCTCCTCCTCTTCCTCCTCCTCCTCCTCCGCCTCCTCCGCCTCCTCCTCCTCCTCCTGCTCCTCCTCCTCCTCCCGACCGCAAGGTCGGGAGCGTCCAAGAAGGGGCGTCCAAGAGGGGGGGGGGGGGCGCCAATCATGGATGGTGGCATGTGCGCAAGGGCGCATTGAAACAACGAGAGGCGCCATGAGATCTGGGGAGATATCATGGCACCCGCCATTATATCCACCACCACTAGTCATCACCCCCCTCCTGGCCGCCCCCGGCCAGTGCGAGGGCAGGATCGGTCAGCATCAAGCTAGGAGGTCGGATCGCATCGACGGATCGAGGTGTGCGTCGGAGCGGGCTGCATCGGCACGGGATCGCAGCATTCGGCCACGGCCCCCCCGACCCCAATGGGGGGGCAGCCCGTGCGAGGCCAGGATCGGCCAGCGTCGAGACAGCGTCGGGTCGGATCGGGGGCGTGCGTCGGAGCGGGCCGCATCGGCACGGGAGATCGCCATCGGAGCGGAACGGCCGCGCGAGGCTTCACGGCGCCGCCGTGCAGGCATCCGGGCCGCAGCGGGATCGTCGGAAGAGCGGAATCGCATCGGCTCCAGACGGGGCAAGGGAGGGAAGGGAGACAGAGGGAGGAGAATCGAGTCGAAAGAGGCAGGGAGAAAGAGAGGGGGGAGAAAGGGGAGGAGGCAGGGGCAAGATCGGCATCGATTCGAGTGGAGTCGAGGGGGAGGGAGAGAGAGGGGGAAGGGCAGGGGCAGGGGGATCGGGCAGGGGAGGGAGGCTTCCTGGGTGGTCCAGGTGGACGAGTCCAGGAGGGTCCAGGGGGTGCAGGAGGTGCTCCGGCTCGAGCAAGTGTGGAAATCGAATGGCGCCACGCTGCACCGGCACTGCACTCTGGACAGCTCCTGCCTTCCCCTCCACACCCTCCCAACATTCCTCCCACCCACCCACTCACTTCCCTTCCCTCCCTCCCTACCTCCCTCCCTCGCTCCCTCTCTTCTTACGATTATTACTATTAGTAGTATGCTTATCCGTACTGTTACTAGTACCAGTATTATGAGTATTGTTAATAGTAGTAGTCATAATAATAATAATAATAATAATAATAATAATAATGATGATGATAATGATAACAATACTAATAATAATACAATGAATAAAATAATAATAACCATACTAATAACAATAATGATTATCATAATTTGCACTACTACTATTACCATGTGATATTATTATTTGTATTGTTGATATGAACAGCATTACTTGTTTAGTATTATTATTGTTTAGCGTTATTACTGGTATGATTCTTTTTGTTAGTAGTATTCATAAGTTCAGTGTTGTTCTCATTCTTCCAAAGATTAACATTAACGTTAGTATGACTTATTGATACGATTCGTACTATGGTTATTAATCGTAATATTACGATTGTTCGTACTGGTGTGATTAATATGTTTCATTAATCTGCTTACTACTACTACTACTATTAATCTGATTGATCGTCATATCATTAATCATATTTTGCTGTTCAGTAATATTGAAATTCTTCATTATAGTAGTGCGATGACTATTACTGGTCGTTTTCATATGTTGATGCTTCCTATTACTGGTACTTATCGTATTGTTATTCGTCTTATTAGTACTATGAGAATGATCATGATTCTTATTATTCGTGCTATTCTCCCTAATATTGATATCATTGTCAGTCGTTGTCTTATCATTGCTAACATCACTATTTCATTATAACTCGTATGACGAATGCTATTACTATTTTATTTCAGGCGTGAAGGGGGCGACGGAATCGTCGAAGGAATGAGGGAAACAGAAGAGCCAATGGAGGATGTTGCTCAGAGGTGCGCTCATTAGAGAAAGCACGCGAACACTCCAGACCAGCAAAATAATATCATGAACGTCTGGAAAACGTCGCGAAGACGGACTCGGAAGGCCGATGCAAGAGCAGATGGAGCCGGATGCCTGATGCCAGTTGGGTGCACCTGCACGTACGAATCGTCCGCCATGAGCTGCGCGACAGCAAAGGCTGCGAAAACACGACGGAATAGGGACCAAGACTTATCGGAAAACTACGAGAACAACACACGCGGGGATGTGACACAGACGGCGCATGGAGTCAAGGACCATTGTCACATGGGCAGCGAGGCTGGTAGGAAGAGGAGGCGACGTCGCGGACGGAGAGGACGACACCTTGAGACGACAACAACAACAAAAACAACAACAACAACAACAACAACAACAACAATCATTTAAGACTGGGGACACTCCGTTCTCACCAGTGCCAGGGTTTTCATAGGAGGCGGGCAATACCCCCACTTTGTGGGGGGGCCGGTTCAAGCTCTACCAAATTTCCAAACGACTCTTCGCCACCACCCACACCCAGCTTCCCGCCCTATGACGTTCGGACACTTCACTTCGTGGCATGCGGACGACCGTGGCTACTATTCAGGGCCCCGCGGCCGACGACGACGGCGTGCGCGCGCGAAGAAAAAACGAATGTGTCCCGCATGGTATTATTTGACAGGGATGATGGCCCTGGCAGGTGCGCAACCGTTGTCGCAGAAGTTCGAAAAAGTTGCTCGCAAAAGCCCGTTTGACAGAAATGTTTAAAAGTGTTGGGTTTCCTACGAATCCGCAAGAGCGCGCGGGATGAGATTTTGACATTTTTTTGTTGAAAAACCATTGGCTTTTTGATGTTTTTATGTTAAAATCGCTCCGAACACTAAGCTTTTGGAAGGATTTCGTCTTGCGCGCGCGAATGTCCACTTTACCTTATTTTTTGCAAGGGATTCTTGAAATTTGATTATATTAGAACAAGAAATGTCATTTTATAGTGTTTTTTGCAAGGGAAAACGGATTACAACAAAACAACCGGATCTTGATGACATCGTATTACCTGAGGCTTCCTCACGAAAATGATGAAAATGTAGCTGCGGCCTAGGCGGCGCAGGGGGGCCGTGCACCAGGGGCCCCAACAATAATTATTCTTTAGAATTAATAATGTTCAACAACAACAACAACAACAACAGCAACAACGACAACGAGAACAACAACAACAACAACAACAACAACAACAACAACAACAACAACAACAACAACAACAACAACAACAACGACAACAACGACAACAACAACCACAACCAAAACCACCACCACCACCACCGCAACAACAAAAACAATCACGTTAAAACTGTTCGCTCTTATCTGCTCGCGTGCTAGGAGCAGAAAACACGCAACTGAACCGGACGGGCAGATCGGGCCGATAGACCCTAACAGGCGGGCCAAGACGACCAGGTCGAGCAGGCGGGTTGCTGAAGCGTGCGTCCTGCAGAAATCTCGTGGAAAAAATCAGTGCGAGAACGTGATTCCTGCGTGTCGAGGGCGCGGCGCCTGAATCAATTGCGTGGAAGCCCCAAGCGACAGCGCGATTGCTGAGTGTCGAAAGCGCGACGCCTGAATAAAACGCGAGGAAATATCAGGCGAAAGCGCGACTCTTCTATAAATTGCAAGGAAGTCCCTAGCAAGAGCGCGATTCTTCAATACATTGCATGGAAATATCAGGCGGGCGCAATAATTGATGTAAACCGGGAACCACGGGCATAGGTTGAGCAGGCAAACATCCCCCGGTAAAAACACATCGAGACCCAGGAGGGGCACTTCAAATGAAAAAACACGTATGTTACGCGAACGCGCGAATCCTGCATAGTTATCCAGGGGCGAGAGCGAGATTCCTAACAAAATGATGAGGAAGTCCATGGCGAAGGCGCGAATCCTGAATTGCGAAGGCGTGGCGCCTGAATCAATCGCGAGGAAGTCACAGGCGAGAGCGCGAGTCTTGGATAAATTGCAAGGAAGTCCCGTGTGACAGCGCGGTTCGTCAGTAAATTGCGAGGAAGTATCAGGCGGGAGCCGTTCCTGTTGCAGCCCAGGGGCCAACAGCGCAGATTGAGAGGGAAGAGATGCCCCCTGATTATACATATATACATATATACACATATATATATATATATTAAAAAATGTGAGCCCCGGGAGGGGTACTCCAATTGCAAAAACACGTATGTTACCCGAGGCGGGGGGATGAACTATAGCAAATATTTCAATAGTGCGAGTTTAACAACAACAACAACAACAACAACAACACCAACAACAACAACAACAACAACAACAACAACAAGATTTACAACAACAACAACGACAACGACAACGACAACGACAACGACAACGACGATGACGACGACGACGACGACAACACAACAAAAACGGCAATAACAACATAACAGCAACAACGACAACACAAACAAACACAACAAAAAACAAAAACAACAACACCAACAACAATCATTATAAGACTGGTCGCTCTTACTTGCCCGCGTATCATTTTAAACGAGTTCCCCACACCCACGATACCCACCCCCCTTTTCGTTTTCGATCACACCCTCTTTGGGGGGACGATTTCTCTTTGCAGGGGGCGGCGGGCTTAGACGGGCGGGCAAACCTGAACAGGCGGAAAATATTTCGTGGGCGTACATGTGCCCGCCATTGGAATTGGTGTGGGCCCTGCAAAAAGAGGAGGGGAAGAACGAGGGAGAGTGGGAGGAACTGAGGGGGAGGGACGGAGGAAGAGGGAAAACGCCAGGACAGCGAAGGGGAGGGCGGTTGATTAGAGGCAGAGAGAAACAGAAAGACAGATAAGAGAGGTAGAGAAAGACAGCGAAAGAGAGAGAGAGGAGAAAGAAAGAGAGAGAGAGAGAGAAAGAGAGAAAGAAATAAAGAAACAGGGAGGGAGGAGGCAGGAGAGGGGAGGGAGAAAGGAGGAGGGAGAGGAGGGAGAGGAGGGAGAGGGGATAGGACAGAAAGACATAAGGATGAGGGAAGAGAGGAGGGAGAGAGAAGGGAGGAGAGGAGGGAGGAGGGAGGAGGGAAAGGGAGAAGGAGCAGGAAGGTAAGAGCGTGAACGTTCGAGGAAGTCCTAAGCGAAAACGCATTTCCTGAAGGAAATCTCGGGCGGGAGCCCACGACGGGCGGGCGATCCCCTGACGGGCGGGTCGGGTGGGTGGGACATTCAAGCGGGATGCTTGAGTATGGCGAGAGCGCGATTACTAAGTAAATTGTAACGGCGTCCTTGGCGCAGCGTGTTTCCTGGGCGTCGAAAGCGCGATTTCTGAATACATGGCATGGAAATCACAGGCGAGAGCGCAATTCCTGAATAGAATGTGAAGGGCGCTCTGGCGGGAGCGGGGGTCTTGATTAAATTGCGAGGAAGTCTCGATTCAATTGCAGGGTCCTCACTATTTTTTTGAAGGAAAGGAGTAAAGCTGATGGGGCGAAGAGCGGACAGGAACTGCCACCTCGCGTGCACTCCAAACGGGCACCACCGACAGCAAAACTGGACAGGAGCGCGACAAAACTAATGTCCGTCGCAGCTGCGTGGACATCCCCTTGCGGCCTAAACAGCCGCACAACCAAAATCGCACACAGCGGAAGGGAAGAGGGCGGAGAAGGAAGCGGGCGGAGGAAGAAACGACGAATGTGCCACCACCCATGATCTGGACGACCATTCATATAAACGGGCATCACACAACCGCAACAAGGAACCGCAGCGCAGCACAGCACATTACACTATGTCGGAATATACCCCGAACTCCAGACATGCCACAACGGAGGAACAGGCAGAGAAAGGGAAAGGAGGAGGCGAAAACCCGAGGGCGGCAGAGAGGAGGAAGATATACGGATAAGATCACAATACTGAAATCGAAGCGCCTGGCAGGCCCGTGAGCATGGATGTTACTAAATCTGGGTGCGGAACACTCGTCAGAGTCAAGATGAAGCGTAATGAAATGGGGCGGCCATGCGAGAGCCAAACCCCGCCGAGAGCATTGCGCAAGCCTAAGGCGGACCCAGGAAAACTTGGACGGCGGCTTACAGGGTCGGACAATGCCGGGCGTGGAAAACTGCCTCGAACCGCATGCACGCAGTGCCACTGCACCAATTGGGAGCAAGAGTGAGCAGGGGGGAAGAAGAGGAGCAGAGCGGGGGGGGACACCTGCATGTTACCGCAGCGCACGTGGGCAGGAGGACCCTCATCGGCCTCGGAATGTCCAGCCAGCCTGGACCAACACACTGGCACCACGAATCCGAAGAGGGAGAAGGCGGGCAAGGAGGCGAGAAAGAAGGAAACAGGTGCCAACAACGAATTCGCGCCTGCAACGTGGACAATGAACATTGGAGCATGGAGGCGGCTGAGCAGCCCACATCTCCATCCAACACTGAAAAAAAAGTTAGCGCGAATTGGCACCCTCGGAAGCCGAGGGGGGGAAGGAAGAGGGAGAGGGACAGGAAGGGAAGGAGAGGAGAGCAGCAGCAGCAGACGACGACGACGACGACGACGACCAGGAGCGAGCGAGGGGCGAAGAAGAGCGGGAGGGAGGCCGAGCCTGGAACAATCAGCCGCGCTCAGCGCGCGCGCGCGCCGCGCTCCACGCGGGGCGGCGGGGGAGGAGCAGAAGGAGGAGAGGGAGGAGGGGCGCGACGAGACCGACGACACAGCAGACGACGGAGAGAGGGAGAGTGGGGAGCAGGGGAGCAAGGGGGAGCGGGGGTCCTGACTAAATTGCGAAGAAGTCACAGGCGGGAGCACCGATCCTGAGTAAATTGTGAGGAAGTCTCAGGAGCGGGGGTCCTGAGTAAATTTGGAGGAAGTCTCAGGCGGGAGCCGTTGTTGTTGTAATCCGGGAGGCCAGGGGCCCAGTTTGAGCACCAAGACTTTCCCTGTCAAAAAACAGGGTGCGAGCGTCGAGGGGCACGCTTTGATTGAGAAAAACAATATGCACCGGTGAGGGGGATCAACCAAATTTTTTCTTCAGGAATGAGAATGCAACAACAACAACAACAACAACAATCATTTTACCCGAACGCTCAGTGTTCTCACCAGTGCCAGGGTTTTCATGCGACGCGAGACAATACCCCCACTTCGTGGGGGGGCAGTTCAAGCTCTACCAAATATCCAAACGACTCTTCGCGACCACCCAAACCCAGCTTCCCGCCCTATGACGTTGGGACACTTCACTTCGTGGCGTGCGGACGACCGTGGCTACTACACTGGCGTGGGGTACACACCCACAGAACTTGGTCACTTATTCGGGGCGCGCGTGTGCCCAGCATCCTGCAATTGTGACATACAATACATGACACAGACAGACAGAGAGAGAGACAGAGAGCAGACAGAGAGAGAGACAGAGAGAGCGGAGTTGGTCACATTTTTGGGGCAAGTTCCTGAGATCGTCGTGTTTTTTGTTGGTCTTGCGCGCGCGAATGTCCACTTTACTTTTTTTTGCAAGGGAGTATTGAAATTTGATTATGTTAGAACAAGAAAAAGTAGCTCGCGCGAGCTCATGTAACATAAATGTTGAAAAACCATTGGTTTTGTGGGAGTCGGACAGCGCGCGCGGGATGAAATTTGGACCTTTTTTTTTTGGAAAACCATTGGGTTGTTGATGTTTTTATGTTGAAATCGTTACGAAACCTAAGGTTCTGGAAGGATTTCGTCTTGCGCGCGCGAATGTCCACTTTACCTTATTTTTTGCAAGGGATTATTGAAATTTGATTATGTTAGAACAAGAAAAAGTAGCTCGCGCGAGCTCATGTAACATAAATGTTGAAAAACCATTGGTTTTGTGGGATTCGGACAGCGCGCGCGGAAGGACATTTTGACAATTTTTTCTTAAAAAACCATTGGGTTTTTGATGTTTTTATGTTAAAATCGCTACGAAACCTAAGGTTTTGGAAGGATTTCGTCTTGCGCGCACGAATGTCCACTTTACCTTATTTTTTGCAAGGGATTCTTGCAATTTGATCAAGTAAGAACAAGAATTTTCATTTTATAGTGTTTTTTGCAAGGGAAAACGGATTACAACAAAACAACCGGATCCGGACACAATCCACTTTTCTGAAGCTTTCGCTAGAAAATGAAGGAAATGAGGCTGCGGCCTAGGCGCGGCGCAGAGGTCGCGCACCAGGGGTCCCAACAATAATAATTCTTAAGAAGGAATAATGTTCAACAACAGCGACAACACAAGCAACAACAACGACAATAACAACAACAACAACAACAACAACAACAACAACAACAACAACAACAATTACTAGCACGTGGGGACACTCCGTTCTCACCAGTGCCAGGGTTTTCATAGGAGGCGGGCAATACCCCCACTTTGTGGGGGGGCCGGTTCAAGCTCTACCAAATTTCCAAACGACTCTTCGCCACCACCCACACCCAGCTTCCCGCCCTATGACGTTCGGACACTTCACTTCGTGGCATGCGGACGACCGTGGCTACTATTCAGGGCCCCGCGGCCGACGACGACGGCGTGCGCGCGCGAAGAAAAAACGAATGTGTCCCGCATGGTATTATTTGACAGGGATGATGGCCCTGGCAGGTGCGCAACCGTTGTCGCAGAAGTTCGAAAAAGTTGCTCGCAAAAGCCCGTTTGACAGAAATGTTTAAAAAGTGTTGGGTTTCCTACGAATCCGCAAGAGCGCGCGGGATGAGATTTTGACAATTTTTTGTTGAAAAACCATTGGTTTTTTGATGTTTTTATGTTAAAATCGCTGCGAACACTAAGGTTTTGGAAGGATTTCGTCTTGCGCGCGCGAATGTCCACTTTACCTTATTTTTTGCAAGGGATTCTTGAAATTTGATTATATTAGAACAAGAAATGTCATTTTTATTCTTTTGCTGAACGAAAATGATGAAAATGTAGCTGCGGCCTAGGCGGCGCAGGGGGGCCGTGCACCAGGGGTCCCAACAATAATTATTCTTTAGAATTAATAATGTTCAACAACAACAACAACAACAACAACAACAACAACAACAACCACAACAACAACAACAACAACAACAACAACAACAACCACAACAACAACCACAACCACAACCACAACAACAACAACAACGATAACAACAACCACAACAACAACAAGATCAAAAACAACAACAATAACAACACCAACAACAACAGCAGCAGCAGCAACAGCAACAACAACCACAACAACAGTATCAACCATAATGAACAACAAACGCAGCAGCAGCAACAGCAGCAACAACAACAGCAACAACGGCAACAACACTAACAACGACAACATCAACAACAACAACAAGAGCAACAACAACAACAACAACCACAGCAACAACCACGGCAACAATATCAACAACAGCGGCATCAGCAACAGCCGCAGCAACAAGAAATACAACAACCACAACAACAATAGCAACAGCCGCAACGGCAGCAACAACATCAACCACAACAACAGCAACAACAGTAGCAGCAGCAACCATAACGACAATAACCAACACAGCAGCAGCAGCGACACAACCTTAACAACAACAGCAACAACAAAAAAACTTAAACCACAACATCATCAGCATCAATAACAACGACAACAGCAACAACAACAGCAACAACAGACTCTGAGCTGGGAGGCCAGTCGCTGCAGCCGTCGCGGGAGTTAAGACGGAGGACGACGGCGAGGAACGAGGAGGAGCACGATGGCGAGGAGTAAACGGGGCGTCCCACTACCCCGCCTCCCCGCCCCAGGAGGGGGCGGCCTACCCCTGAAGCGGGCCGCACCCTCCCTCCTTCCCACTTCCTCCTCCTCCTCTTCTGCCTCCTCCCTCCTCCCTCCTCCCTCCTCCTCCCTCTTCCCCTTCTCCTCCTCCTCCTCCTCCTCCTCCTGCTCCTGCTCCTGGTCCCGCTCCTCCTCCCCCATCCCCCTCCTCCTCCTCCTCCTCCTGCTACTCCTCCTCCTCCTCCTCCTCCTCCATCTTCCCTCCTCCTCCTCCTCCGCCTCACTCCTCCCTTCTCCATTATCCTCACTCCTTCTTCTCCTCCTCCTCCTCCTCATCCTCATCCTCCTCTTCCGAAGTTCGACACTCTTCAGCAGTTGGATCTTCGAGCGAGCGGCTGTTGCGCAGCTTTGGGTGCACCCCATCTCGGCCGAGAGCGAGCACGGCGAGCGGGCCCACATGCCTCACAGGCAGCTCCCCGAGTCTGGCGGCGTGGGGGCAGCAGCCGCTCCGTGCATGGAGGACCAGTCGGACGAGGGCTGCCTCTCGAGGATGCTCCGACTCTGGCGCGGGCTCGCAGTCTTCAGCAGGGCTGGACCTCAACGTCGTTTTTCGTTTTTGTTGTCGTTTTATGCTTCGTTTTGTTCTACCTGTTTTCCTGTACCTCCCTGCCGAAACGAAAAACAAAACACAGCCGAAGTCCAGCAAAACAGCGTTCAGGTCCAGCCCTGGTCTTCAAGGCCGACGGCGGCCTGGATCGATGATCCTCAGAAGCTGTGTTAGCGCCGACGTGTTCGTCCGCCGAGGCTTGAATACGACGCAGGCGGCGCAACGAGGGCCGACACAGACTGCGCGCTATCGGTGGAATCGAACGGGGTAAACACACGATTTGGCTAACATGCGTCCTATAGATCATCAACTGGAGCTATTTCTACTCCAAGGACACGAAGGAGTCGTCCACGCAGGGCGGGGAGCACGAAGATGGCGCCTCAGAGGCTCTCCGAGGGCAGGCAGAAGACCGAGGCCGTCGGAGCCGAACGTGCGTATCGCGCCGCACCCGCGCGATACCGCAGGTGTTGGGCCCCAGCCGGTTCGGGAAAGCCTTGGGCGGAAGGCCGAGACTTCCTCGAGGGCGCGACGAGGAGGAGCTTCTCATCGGGAAAGGGGGCGGAGGACGGAGGAAGAGGGAGCGTGGGGCGGGTGACGGAGATCGGGGGTCGTAGACGGCGCGTCGCAGCGCCTCCCCAGAACTCCGACGTCTTGAAACGATAACAACAAAGAACAGGAAAAGAGAAGAGAGGAGGAGGAGGAGGAGGAGGAGGAGGAGGAGGAGGAGGAGGGATGAGAGGGAGCGCGGGGACGGAAAAGTAGGCGGGAACAGGAGGAGAGGAGGACAGAGGAGGAGGACCGATGAGGCGGAGGGGAAGGGAGGCCGGAGACTCTGCTTCCGTCCTGGATGAGCAGGCTCGGGGCGGTGGCGAGGAAGCCGCTGTCCAACACTTCCTCGACGGTGTCGCCTGCAGAAAAGCAATCAGCGAGCTGATCGTTCGCCGCTTCGCCGACGGGAGAAAGAAGGATCATGAAAACAAGTGCCACATTGGCTTCGCCCATGGGCTGAGAACTGAAGGGCTCAGAAGGGCTCCAAGAGGGGCCCGAGAGAGAGAGAAAGAAAGAAAAAGCGAAGGGGCCTTGACACCCTTTCCCCCAAAGATTGCCCCAAAGACCGCAATGCCCCCAAGAGCCTCCTACAAGAGCCCCAAGAAGCCCCCAGTAGGCCTCCACGAGGCATCCAAAAGTCTCCACAGGAGGCCCCAAAAAAACGCTCCCAAGAGGCGCTCAAGGGGCCTCCGAGACCCCCCCCCGAGAGGAACCCCAACAGTCCGCAGCACGCATACCGGAGGCCTCTGGCCCAGGACCAGGCACGGTGGCCGGATGGCCCGAAGGCCGCTCGATAGCTCATCATGGCAACAACAATCACACAAACATCGAGGCGGCCGTCCCAGCTGCCACAACTACCATCATCGGTCACTCCTGCTCGACCCGCACCACGCTACTATCACCGTCGATCATGATCACAGTTCCTTTGCACCATCTCCGTGGCCGTCATCGTAGCATCCGTCGCCGACACATCTGTGCTCATCGCCATGGCCTCTTCGCTACTGCATCTACTTTGCATCGGGTGTCCAAGGCCCTCGCTCCGACGCTCTCCTCACGCGTTCTTCCCGGTAGCTGGTGCTATCTTCCTCGTGGTCTTTGCAGCCCCACTTCAACGCACTGACCGGCCTATGGAGAGCACGAGGGTCACATCGATAAAAGAGACGACGATGTACCGGTCGAACTCACTGTCCATGGTGGCCTTGACGGTCCTGAGCCCCACTCAGTCCCACAATGTGGAACTACCGTTTTCTGAGAGGCAGCTAATGCAAAATCTCCAATGAATACTGGTGCTACTACTGTGGAGGGGTGACGGCTAGTACGCGCCAATGGTGATGCCAAGTTCACCGTACATACGCACGCGAATTTTGACAGCCGCCTGTCGGGGTTCACCTGGCCAAGGAGAGTCATCTCACGAGGTACTGAACAACACTCTGAGCATCCCTTCTTCACTTCGGGAGGTTACACCCGCTCAGAACTGCTTCGATGTCTACGAGCTGCTCAGTCTGACCAGGAAAATCACTCGCCACAAACCGCAACACGTAACATACACTCGACCAAGATTTCAGTGTGGGCACAGCCCACATTCGAAGGTGGGGGGGAGGGAGAAGAAGAGGGGCAGAGAAGGGGAGGAGAGTAGAAGAAGAGAAAACTGCACAGGCATAAGCTTTCGGAGCTCCACGCGGATTTCTTCGATCAGCGCTGGACCCCCCGCCCTGACAGGGACCAAGCGCAGATCCAAGACATCCACGCGGAACTCCCATCGTTTATGTTTACACCGTTTATCCTTATTCCTCGGGAGAGGGGGGGAGATGAGGCAGGTCACGGTTCAACCCTCCGCATCTCCACACAGCGTTGGGCTTTCCGGGCAGCTCGCTCACCGCCATCTCGGTGACGGCAAGGCCTTCACCATCAGTCTGGGCTGCATCACTCGAGGCAAGCGCATTCAGCAACCAAGGCGAGAGTGAAGAGGATAAGCTGGCATGTAAGGGGAAGGGAAGGCGAAGGAAAAAGTAAAAGTGAAGGGTACGAAAAGAAGAGGGTGGGGTGGGAGTGGAAGAGACAGGAGGGGAGAGGATAAGACGGGATGGGATGAGATGAGATGAGAGGGATTGGAACAACAGGAGAGGGAACGAAGGAAAGAGGAGGATAGGGTAAGGGGAGGGAAGTGAAAGGGGAGGGATGGAGGGGAGGGATGGAGGGGAGGGTACAGGACGGGAGGGAGGGAAGGGGCGAGGCGGAAAGCAGGGAGGGAGACAGGAGAACAGACACAAAGGAGGGCGATAGGGCAGAGAGTGGCGGGGGCGGGGGAAGGGAGGAGGGGGGAAGGGGAGGGGCGGGACAGGAAACAGGAGGCAGAGGCCGTGGACCGCGGGTGAAAGCCACGCGACCTCATCAAGAGAGACAAAAAGAGAAAAACGAGAAAGAGACAGGAAAGAAAAAACAAAAAAAAGAGAAGGACACAAAGAGTACGTATGATGATGGTGTGTGAGAGAGAGAGAGAGACAGAGGGAGGTGAATAGAGAGAGAGAGAGAGGAAGAGGGGGAGAGAAAGAGAAAGAGACCAGCACCAACGACGGAAAGACCAGGAAGCTTCTCCGGCTCGACTCCTCCTCCTCCT